GTCACGGTAATCAATATAAACTCGAATTCAACCATCATTCTTCTTCACTGGCACGATGTTTGCTATCCAATCAAGGTATTGCGAAACCTCAATGAACTCTACTTTCAAAAGCTTTATCACTTCTTCTTCGATTTTTTTCAACAGCTCGGGTTTGGTCCTTTGTAACCTTTTCTTTTTAGGAGGCATGTCGGAATTGGTAGGCAAACTGTGCTCGACAATTCAAGGGTTTAGTCCTGGCATATCAAAATAAGACCATGCGAAGACGTCTTGATAATCTTTGAGGAGAGCGATCAGACGTATGGCTTTCTCTTCGGGAAGGTTGGCCCCAATCTTTACTTTTTTTGGATCTTGAGTACCACCCAAATTGATGGTAACAGTATCTTCGGTTGTAAGGGGCTTGATTTGTTCATATTGCTCCCAATTTCTTCGAATTTCAATGGGATCATCACTTGAATCGTCAGAATCGCTGCTGTCAGTATCTACATCATCAGGCTGGACTGTACTAACTCCCTCGCAAGTCGCAAGATTATGCCTGGAACACAGGGTAAATTGATCAGAAAAATAAATGGGGATATGGATTTTTTTCATTGTCCCCTTCCTCTTAAAACATTTTTTTTGAAGAAATAGTGAAATGTCTTTGATTTTCGAAAATTTTTAAAAACGAGGAAGCATGAGATAGCTCGGGCCTCAAAATACTTTCCTTTTCGTGGCTGGATATCATCAACGGGCCAGTTTGGGATACTACCTCATGCCCTCAAAACATTATTTATTTACAACACATGGATTTACAACCTCAAAAGAGGGAGAGTTCAAAAAGACATTTCTTCCAGCAGAAATGACAACAAAAAACAAAATACAAGGATAGCCCCTTTTCCAGGGATTCATGCAGAAAGGAGAAGAGGAATTCTACTCAAGTGGGCTTGCGCCCATTCCCTCTACCGGTCCTTCGTCTATTGTGCCGACGAAGAAATCTTCGAAAGTATTGTTCCAAGAATCCAGTTCATCGGCTCCTCTCTTTACTGGTATCAGCTTTTCCATGTCGTCCCATCTACTAGGAATGCTATTCTGCTGGTCTTCATAAAAAATTTGATGGCATCTGGTAGTCAACGTAATAGTCGAACTTACCACTAGGCTAGCCCAGGGTATCCATAATTGTCTTTTCCTTACGTGTCCTATCAGAAAGCTCAGGGGCAGCGGCACGAATGCTAGGTACCACCAAGAGGTTATTTTTACCATCATACAGCCATGGGGTACGAAAAGTGAATGCACTGGCGTCTAGTAGGTCTTGAATTCTATTTTTCAGAGTATCGTAATCATCCAGCGAGTGCCCGATCTCTTCCGAATGATAGTCACAAGATCTGGAGGGATCATAATTAATGAAATACTCAGGAGTAAGGTGTTTTGGCCTCCTTGTGATCAGCCCCTTCTGCAAAAGAATAGGGAATATCACATCCATGAATTTAGGAACTGGCGAGTGTCGTTGTACATTGCCCTGCCATTGTAAGAGTTGGATATCTCGCCAAGTCATGTCGGGAAGGACTCCCGATGGCGAGTTTTCTTCGGGACCATTTACTTGGGTCACCTCTTCTTGATCGGGAAACGGCAGTGACATGTCCGAAATTTGACCAATGGTATCCATTAAGGATGTGAACAAATCTCGTAGCTCGCCCAACTGATACTGCAAACGTGCAAACAAATCAAGCAGGTTTACACTCGTTTCTGAGGTCGAGTTTTCGTGTATGGCTCCTATGAAGATATCGTCAAATAGGGTGACCACGCTATCCAGCGTTTCTTCTCGTCCATAATCTTTCTCAATCGGTAGCTTGTCTAAGTTTTCCTGTCGATCGACAGCAACATTTACAGGAAGCATCGAGGAACTCGGGTGACTTGAACATTCGGCAGGATGCTTGAACCCATCACCGGATTTCCTGAGAGGTTAAGATAAATTTTTTCATCCTGCAACAATTTAGCAGGTGGCGGGAAAGTCTCCCGGATATGGGAAAGTAGCAAACCAACTTGACCCCTCTCGTGCCCCTTGTTGGCCTGTAGGTTTCCTCCGCGATACCCTAGACTAGCGGTATGGTGATTCCTGGCGGCCTGGATAGGCTCTCGGATGCCCCGGCCTTCTCTGCCGAGTCCTTGACCTGGGGTGAAGTCATTCCCAACCATAACCTTCCCTACCATGATTGAGGCTTTTGACATATCAGGAACGAGAGGAGAAGCTCCTCGATATCCGTACACGGTTGACACGAGCTCGATGGGCTGATAACTAGATTCCACCGTGCCACTTGGTTTGACATACGAGATGGTAGTTTCTTGATAGATTCGATGGTCTTCTTCTCCAAGGACTGTGATTATCTTCCCTTGGGCTACAAACTTCACGCTTTGGTGAAGACTTGAAGGTACGGCTCCAGCAGAGTGAATCCAAGGACGACCCAACAGAAAGCTAAACGCAGTAGGGATGTCCATTACCTGAAATAGAATGCTGAACACTGTTGGGCTAATCTGGACATTAAGGTCGATCTCACCAACAGTGTCTTTCTTCATCCCGTCAAATGCTCGAACGGATGTTTTGGAAGCACGGAACTTAGACGTGTCTACATTGAGACGGCGCAAGGTTGCCAACGGGCAAATATTCAAAGTAGACCTATTGTCTATCAGAACTCGAGCCACATGGGAGTTTCTACATTTAACGGAGATGTAAAAATCCTTGGTATGCCCCCTACTTTCGGCGGGAAAATCATCTTCCGAGAATGTTATCCGGTCCTTCAAAAGGATGGACCCCACAAATGCTTCTAACTTGTCATGCTCAATTGTCTCCGGGACGTTTACTTCGCTGAGCACTTTCATCAGAGATTTCTGATGCTTCACAGATGTTTGAAGTAGCTCTAACAAAGAAATCTGGACGGGCAACTTGCGTAGCTGATCCACCACATTGTATTCACTGGCTTTGATGATGGCCAGGAATTCTTTGGCTTCTTCATCGATGACAGGCTTCGGAGGCTGCACGTCAGCTTGGGCATACGTTCGTCCTAACCTGGTGATTAGGTCAACATCCAGTTCGTAGGACCATGGGATTGCTTTATCATTATTGTACTGGTAAGGCTGAGGTATCTCGATCACTATGTGCTCCTCGGTTAGGGGTACTTCAATCGTCAGTTCCTCCTCCTCGTCTAGGTTGTCAGTCAAAGGTTCGTTCACAAGTGTGGAGATGGATTCACTTGTTTCGGCATTCAATGCTGAGAGTTCTTCGTCCCAGTCGATGATAACCTCGGAGATGGTGGCCACTATGCCGGTGCGGTCGGCATACACAATCAAACCTGCTTTCGCCATGCTGGCAACTCTTTCTTTCATTAGGGACAAGGGCAGTACTTCACCAGTAGGATAGTACCCTGCTTTCACTATACCGTTATAAACGTCAATAGTGTATACCCTCTCATCCTTGATTCGACCAGCGTCGAAAGTGAATATGGCATTAATTCTGCTTTCATGTTCGGGTAGCGGGTTGTTTTGGACATTTGGCTTGGATGTTTGAAACGAGAAGGCTTTGATGTCGAGCAAGTTTTGGACTCAGTGTTTGAGGGTATAGCAGTCGTCCGTTGAATGTCCTATCTCGCCCATGTGATAGTCACATTTCTTAGACGGATTGTAATTCGAAAAACTTTTTGAGCTGGGCCGTTTTGGCTCAATAGAAAGCAGGTTTTTCTTTCGGAGTATGGCCAGGACTTGAGAAAGGGATCCAGGCAGTGGAGTGAATTGCCTTTTCTTATATCGCTTCAGAGGCTGGCGACTTGAGGTCGGCTGCTGCTCACTGCTCACCTGGACTGTCCTGGAAGGATGAACAGTCTAGGTGTATGCGATGTTCACATCCGTCAGGGACTCCTTTTCTTTTCTCGTGTTGAGTCTCTTGCTTGTGAAAGTGGGGTCTATGAACCACCCGTCATGCAATCCCATTTCAATTCGTTCGCCCACAGGAACAAAACGATTAAGGGATTCAGTAGTGGCACCAACCAGGCAGTGTCTGTATTCATACGGAAGAGACTTAATGAACAACTTCATTTGTTCATGATCAGTAAGTCCTGGGGTAACCTGGGCGGCTAAGTTCCTCCATCTGGTGGCATACTCTTTGAAGGACTCACTCTTCTTCTTCTCGGTGCGTTCAAGGTCGTCACGAGAAAAGGTGACGTCGAGGTTGAATTGATACTACTTGAGGAATGTATCAGCGACATCATCCCAAGATTTAAAAGCATCCACATTTTTTGACATATACCATGTCAAAGCCGGTCCTGTCAAACTTGCTTGAAAAGTCTGAATCATGAGGAGTTCATTATCAACGTATTGGGTCATCCGCACATGATACATGTGCAAATGGTGTCTGGGACATAAGGTACCATCATATTTCTCGAATTCTGGCATCTTGAACTTTTCTGGTATCTTGACCCGTTTGTATATAGACAGGTCAAGTGGGACAGCATGTTGCGGGCCTTGTAGCTGTTCCAGCATCTCCTCGACCTTTGCAAGGCATTTGTCATGTTCTGTCATAGGCGCACTTTCAAGTTCAGTCTTCTTGACAGCAAGTGGAAGCGAATCATCCTCTAGCAGGGGCATTTTGTTGTCGCTGGCGGAGGCTTTGTCTTTTCTAGTAGACGGTGGCAGTAACACCACCTCGATTGCTGCAGGCGTGGGCGTGAGCTCGCCATTGATAGATTCTATCTGCTTGATGAGATTTTCAAGTGCATTGAAAACCATCTTCATTTCGTTTTCCATATTATTGAGATGGACGTTTTCTTCGGCCATTTTTTATAACTACCTGTGAAAACGTTGAAATGAATGAGTATAAAGTCTAATAAAGAATCATTTCATGACCTTGTTATAATATTATATCTATTTATTACAGATTTTCTTTATTTGCAAAGAAAAAACGAAAAAAGGATTTTTATTAATATTAACATTACAAACGGCGTAGAACTTTTCATTTCCACCATCTTGCGGTACTGTTCATGCGAGCAGAAAATGCTCTCTCCTGGATATCTCGCGGGTACTGTTCACCCGACGGTGTTTTGCTGATTCCGGCGGATTCCGGTGGTGGTTGGAGCTGATTTTTGGAGGCAAGGTCCTCTGGACTCCCTTCTCTTTCCCCTCCAAAGGGCTCCTCTTCTTTCTCAGTATAGAGGCCGGGCCATCAGATCTGAATCGTTCTCCTGGTGCGTTCTTTCTGAGAAATCCGGCCACGCTGAGTGCTCCTTCTGCTAGTTTGTCCTCGTGGAGGTCGCCATCCCCTCCTGTAGGTACTCTCTCTTCGGTGTCCCTTCTTCTGTAGTGGGGCTGGATTTTGCGAGTCTGGTGGACGCATTTATGCTGGGTAGTGGGAGACCTGCTGTTGCTATTCCCTGTTCTGGTTTATATGTTGCTGTATTGGGTTGACTGGTTGGTGAAATTGGTGTGGTAGCTTGCTAATTTTCGAACCTTTGGAGGAGGTTATAAGGAACCCCTCTCCTGGCCCCTCCCCTGTTGCTGAGTCTCAACCGGCGGTAGTTGGTCTTGCTAATACTCAACCGGCGGTAGATGGTCCTGCTGATACCTCTAAGGCAGCAGAGCTCAAAGGAAAATCTACCTCCTTTTCCCATGAGGTTGAACTTCCTTCTGGCCCTAGGCTTTTCCTGAAAGCCAATTCTAGTTGTAGCCGAAGTAGGGGCTGCCCGAAGAATAGGAGCCGTTCTCTTAGGCGTGCTCATAATGCAGGTCCTTCAATTCGTTCTGTTCCCAGGCCCAACACAGATGGGAAAACAAATGTGGTGGGACAGAACCTTAGTCGTCCTCAAGGCCAACCCACCCCTGCACCCGTAACTAGAACGTGGGCAAATGTGGCGAAGGTATTGACCAAAGGATACAACCTAGCATATGTTCCACCGCTGGTGGAGGATGGTGAAGTGATTGTGGACATTACACTAGAGGTAATTGCTGATGAGAATCCACTTTTGCTGGAATGTATTGTTGGCCACTATATAGGGAAGAAAATTTCCTTCAAGTTAACTGAAGAAGCCATTAAGAAATCATGGGGTGATCAAGTAGTTGATGTAAAACTACATGAAAATGGGTTCTACTTCTTCCGAGTTCCGAATGCTGAGTTCCGCAGGAAGATTATTGATATGGGACCGGTTTCCATCTTTAGTAGCACTTTGATGCTCCAACAATGGCACTCGAAATTGAAGCTTAAGAAAGGTTCTCTAGATACTCTCCCGGTTTGGGTCAGACTAAGAGATATCCCATTCTCTCTATGGTCCTCAGTTGGTATTGGAAGAATAGCCAGCGCCATTGGGAAACCACTATATGTGGATGTGCAAACAGAACAGATGACCAGGATTTCTTATGCACGTGTCTGTATGGAAATTAATGCCACAAAATCCCGAGTGGAAGCAGTGAAGTTTCGTTGGGATGGTGAGGCGAATTTGATCAGTATTGAATATGAATGGAAACCTCTGGCTTGCTCTTCTTGTGGCATTTTTGGCCATAAATTGGGTTCCAGTGGATTTGAATGTGCCTCTGCACATACTGAACATAGAGCTCAGCCTATTGTTCGACCTCAAGGAGGAGATGGCTGGACTCACATCACTAGGAAAAAAGTCAAAGAACCTTCTGGCAAGCCGATCAACCAGCCTCAATCTGCGTCTCATTCCTCAATTGGCACCGAATCTAGGGGAGGATGAACCCCTTCCTCCTGTTTTGAATACCGGTGTGGAACCCGGCCTGATGGGTACTGATCTGAATTATTCCAAGGTCTTTGAGGCAGAGCCGAGCCATTCCACAGCTTTATGTCCTGCTGGACTAACTGACCAGCAGAGTGAGGATCCTTCTCAAAACTCTCAGTCGTCCTCAGAAGACTCTCTTGACTCCCGGACAATAATGGAGAACAACAGTGATTCAGAAGTTATGGCGGAGATGGAACCAGCTGTTGTATCCCCCTCAACACTCGTTCACGAACTTTGGCATCCAGTGCCACGGATGAGATTTCTAAGGCCTCCCCTGTTTCAACTCCTAGCTCGATGTGTCCTGTTAAGACACATAACCCGTCCTCCTCAAAAAAAAATCTAAGAGGAGGAAGGCAAAGAGACCCCAGAGGTAACCTTCCTCGCCTATATATATATGTTTTTTGGAATATGGAATATCAGGGGTCTAGTAGCACCCCTTAGACAAGCTGAAATTCGGGCCCTCATTAGGACAAACCGTCTTTCTTGTATTGGTATTGTGAAAACAAAAGCAAAAGCCTCTCTTTTTGCTGATATTTCTAGAGGCTTATGCGCTAATTGGCAGTGGGTGTCCAACTATGATTTTTCCCCCTTGGTAGAATATGGTTCGGTTGGGACCCGAATGAGCTGGAGACGAGTATTATTTCCTCTTCTGGCCAAATGATTCATGCTCAGCTTAAGCTTTTGAATATGCAAACATCTTGTCTTATCACAATAGTATATGGAGAACATACATTTGTGAATCGGCGGTCGCTTTGGGCTGACGTTATTCGGCTCTCTTCGTGTGAGCTGCCTTGGATTGTTGCTGGAGATTTTAATGCCATTAGAGACCCGGATGATAGAGTGGGTAGCACAACTCCTTGGATTCCAGCCTTTGATGAATTTGGGGACTGCCTTAACCAGGCGGGACTAGAGGATCTTCGTTATGTGGGCTGGAGATACACATGGACTTATTCTTCAGGTGATAATCGGAAACTTCGTAAGATTGATCGAGTGCTCATTAATGACCTATGGAACCAACTTTTCTCCTTCTCGGAAGCCACCTTCCTTGCGCCAGGTATCTCTGATCACTCCCCCATGGTGATAAAAATTTTCCCGCCACTTAGCTCCAATAAACCTTTCAAGTTTTTCAACTTCTGGGCTACACATCCAAAATTCTTGGACTTAGTAGCTCAAGCCTGGGATACTCATATAGTAGGCACTCCTATGTATATGATTTGCTGCAAACTTCGGGTGCTTAAAGCAAAGCTGAAACACTTGAATAGAAGTTCATTCTCTGCTATTTCCACAAGGACTGAACAGGCCAGATCAGACCTATATGCTATTCAGGTAGCCTTGGAGCATCATCCCTTTGATCAGAGCCTGCTTGATAGAGAAGTGGAGTACATACGATCCTTCTCTGCATTGAGATTACAAGAGGAATCCTTCTTCAGACAGAAATTCAGGATTCGATGGCTCAAAGAGAGGGACATGAATACTAAATTCTTTCATCATTTTGTTAACAAAAGGCGGTTACAAAATCGAATCCTTTCGGTGTCTGCTGATGACGGTGTTCTACTAACTGACCCACAAGCGGTCAGGAACCACATTGTTGGTCACTTTCAGGAGCTACTCAATGGTAATTCTGCGTATATCTAGCCATCTGTCCGTGAGATAAGGGATTTCATTGGCCGGGTTTTAGATGAGAATCAGAGGAACTGCCTAGCACAACCGGTTTCGGATGAGGAAATTCAGTCTACCCTGTTTTCACTTGCTAGAGGCAAAGCCCCTGGGCCGGATGGGTATAACGTTGATTTCTTCAAAACCTCTTGGGAGATCATTGGACCCTCCATTCTCATGGCGGTAAGATTTTTTTGAGTCTGGTTGTATGCTTAAAGAGTTAAACAATACCATTTTAACTCTAGTGCCGAAATCCCCTAATGCCTCGGCCATGACTGATTTCCGTCCGATTGCATGTTGCAATACCCTTTACAAATGCATTTCTAAAATCCTGGCTAGGCGTATTGCTCATGTCTTACCAACTTTGATTGGCCCTTCCCAAACGGCTTTCGTTAAAGGACGCAGAATTAGTGACAACATCATGATTGCTCAAGAGTTGTTCGCGGACTTTCATCATGAGGCTTACCTTCCTAAGTATGCCATCAAAGTGGATTTTCAGAAAGCTTTTGACACAGTCGACTGGGAGTTCATTGAAAAGACACTAAAGGCCTTCAAATTTCCGGATTTCTTCATCAAGCTGGTTATGGCTTGTGTGTCAATAGCCAAATTCTCGGTTTCAATCAATGGGGAATTACATGGGTTTTTTGCTAGTTGCCGAGGTATACGACAAGGCGATCCGCTATCGCCGTATCTTTTCATACTGGTTATGGAAGTCCTGTCCGGAATTCTAAAGGCAAAAACAGACACTCCGGATTTTCATTGGTTTTGGCGATGCAAAAAAACCCGTATTTCTCATCTATTTTTTGCGGATGATGTGCTCCTCTTCTCCGAAGCTCACTTGAGGTCGATTGAACTAATCAAGGAATCTCTTGACCTGTTCTCCGACTGGTCTGGCCTTAAACCGAATAATAGGAAAAGCAATATCTTCCTCTCGGGAGGGAATCAGGTTCTGCATGGCCAATTACTTCAATGCCTCGGCTTTCAACAAGGTACACTCCCTTTTCGCTATTTAGGCATGCCTATTATATCGACTAGACTGCGTAAAGAGGACTGTAAAATCTTGATTGATTCTATAACGGCTCGAGCCCTTTCATGGACTCAACGTTTCCTGTCCTTCGCTGGTCGGTTACAACTCATCAAATCAGTCCTGCATTCCATGCAAGTGTATTGGGCTACTATCTTCTCTATTCCGAAATCAGTATTATATAGAATTGAGGCTATTTTGCGACAATTTCTATGGAAAGGTCCTGACCTTGGCATGGGTGGAGCTAAGGTAGCGTGGAATGCTGTATGTTTACCCAAAGAAGAAGGTGGCCTTGGGATACGGCGACTTGTGGAATACAATAGAGCAATGACTCTTAAACACATATGGCTTCTCTTTACTGATAAGGAATCCATGTGGTGCAAATGGATACATTCAACCTTCTTAAAAAAATCAAACTTTTGGATTGTATCCAAACCTACATTTTGCTCTTGGACATGGAAGAAAATTCTGGATTTGCGAGCTTCCGCCCAAGCACTATTTCGGTGGAAGATTGGTAATGGACGCTCGGTGTCCTTTTGGTTTGATTGGTGGCATAACAAAGGCCCACTCTACCTCATATTCAGCAATGTGGACATATACCAATCGCGGATCCCCTGGGATACTTCGGTTCGGAAATTCTATGATTGTTTATGGCAACCTTCATATACACTTGACACTATTCTGAGCTGGACGGATTCACCACCAATTTTTGTGGAGAATACTCCGGACAAACTGATATGGTCTTCACATCCTTCTGACTCTTTCTCGGTAGCGCTAGCTTGGAATCATATCAAAAGGAAAGGGCATTCAGCCCTATGGCACTCATTCATTTGGGATCATCATATTGCCCCCCGACATGCCTTTCTCTTGTGGCTTATCTCTCTCAACCGGCTGCCTTCCCAGGTACTCCTCCTACAAATCCGCAGGATTGACACCGCCTTGTGCGCTTTCTATGGTGATAGACCAGATTCGATCAACCACCTCTTCTTTGAGTGCACTTCTACTTCTAGGATGGCTTCTTTCTGGGCAACTAAATGCAACCTTCCATAGCGCAACCGTCCTTGGCAAGAGCATATTAGGTGGGCAATGAAAGTTTGCGGTGGATCTTCCTTTGCTCACTGCCTCTCTAGATTTTCCTTTGGTGCACTATGTCATGTCATTTGGACTGAAAGGAACAACACCATCTTCAGAAACAAGAGTGTATATATCCCGGGTATGTGCTTGCACCTAGTCAAAGTCGTGAAGGATAAAGCCATATCCATTGGGGGAGTTGAGGATACTCCTAGGAACCGGCAATTACAAAGGAAGTGGGGTCTTCCACCTTCAATCTTCGAACCGAACTAGATGGCCTCTTAATTCGGTGTATTAAGTCGCCTTGTATTTAGTTGGTCTCTCTTTGGCTTGTTGTATAGTTCTCGCTGAACCAACGTGGACCCTGTTCGGACATTTCCGTGTCCTAATAGGGTCAAGGGTTGGCTTTGGCGCTATATTGTATATGGTGTTTTGAAAAGTAATACATATTCTTATCTTTACCAAAAAAAAAAAACATTACAAACGGCGTCCCTGAGGTTCGAACCTCGGTCGTCTCGGACCGCTTTCGCTCATCCCCGGATACCACTGGGCCAAGGCCACGGTGGTGTCATTAAAGCGCAAAACATATTATTTATATAACAAAAAGTGGTCCGAATTATATTAACATTAGTACAACCCATAAACACTTTTAAAGAAGAAAACAAAAACCCCTAAACATAAATACTAGGAAATATAAAAGACAGGGGCTTTTAACAAAAGAGGTCATTCCCGGACATTCATTCTATAAATGATGGGGAAGCCACAGTCTCTCGGAGCCGCTTATTTTCACGGACAAGCTCCACAATAAGCGTATCCCTCGTCCCCACAGTCCTTTCGAGATGGTCAATCCGTGCTTGGCGACTGGGCTTGTTGGTTATATCTGAGACCTTTGGCTGTAGAGCTGCCAGGATTTGATGATGTAGAATGTAGAACAGAGAGGCATGGTGGACCTTTTCTTACCCTTTCAATAGTTTAGGCACAAGAATGTTCTCAGGCTGACATTCAGTCCACACCCCCTGGATGGCACGAATTTCATCAACATAATTGTAGTTTGAGCGAGTGAATCGAACTCGAAACAGGTCTATCTTGAGAGGCGACGGGATCTCCTGAAGGGTCCTGTACTGGCAGGCTACCCGGTAGGGGTAGTATGAAGTGGCGCCAGATAAACCAAGCAGTGGAACAGGGTTGTGAAACCTGTGAGCATAACGAGCCTGACCCTCATGGAACCATTTAGCGTGCCATAAGAATGCTTTGGGATTGGGGTCTTTCAAAAAGTTTATCCAGGTAGAGTAATCCTTATCAGGGGAATTATTTTTTAAGACCTCAAATCTTTGTATCAGATGCATAAGGTTATCAATTTCAAAAAGCTGCATGAGGTACCCAAATCCTCTTAAGTAGGATAAAAATCAGATTTGCAAAATTTCTGGGGCGGCCCGCATGATTTTCTCGTCATTTTGTTTAAAACGGTTAAGAGACAAAAATATTTCTGCCAGAACCGAATTAACATAACCCATGCCGGTGCAAATTTGTTTGGCCACATACGCAATCGAGGGGTTTATTGAATTTTTACGACGGGGGAAAATGACACACCCGATAAAAGCAAGGATAAAAATCTTAGATTTTTGGCTCATGGGTTGATTTTCAAAGCATTCATTTAAGAAAAATCAGGACATGCATTACAATGAGCTTTAACGACTCTTTTCACGGTATTGCTCTCGACTCGCAAAAACTGGGATAATTCAGGTAGAGGGGACACACCCAAAAGTGGTTTGATGAGCTCAGATCCCAAAGACTTTCCAATGGCAACACTATATTCTTCCAGAGTCGGGGTCATTTCAAACTTACCAAATATGAAAGTGGATGTCTGTGGGCACTAGAAATGTGCTAATGCCTACATCATGCCAGAATGAACATTGATCTTGAGTAGTGGAAGTAGGCGATCAATTCTTGCTTTGACATATTGTTGGCCATTCTGATCGAGTCGGTCCCACTATGCCAAAAGCTCTTTCTTAGGAGTGGGGATGAATTGGACATCAGCTCTTCCCATCGTATATAGAATGCAATCAACGGGTGGCCTAACAGTAACAAATCAAATGAATAAGTAGGCTGCATAATAAAATAAGAAGTGATAGAATATATACCTTTCCTTGAACTATGGCAATCACAACAACATGCACATGAGGAGTGAGGTTCGATTTCTATCTAGACTGGTTCAGCAAAATGAAGTTAAAAGGGTGCCTGACCGTCGCAGTCTCGCGTTGGTGTCAAGTCCTTTTAATCTCGGCCAAATCGAAAGGAATATCTTATAGTCACGCGAATAGCGGGTAAAGATATTTCTTTACAATTTTTTAGAAATAAATTTCGGGGAAAAGAAAGGCAACCTCTACATCGCGGGCTCGCGTTCGAGGTCGTATCTTTCTTAACACCATCCTAAAATGCCTTATCGCGGCCCAGGTCCAACAGCGTGGTTGTGTGTGCAACAGTGTAATGCTAAATCATTAAAGTATGCACAACAATTCATAAACAATCAATTTGAACCTGCAAGAACAAATAACACCTTAATGTCAGGGTCATACCTGGAGTCCTTGCTGCCAAACAAAAAAAATTTTGAATAGGATAATATTTATGGCTTAAGCCCACTTTTAAAAAAATGTAAGTCCCCAGCGGAGTCGCCAGTCTGTCGCGATCGACCTCCGTTTTTTTTCAACATAAAAAAAGGGGGTCTCGCCTTGTACGTGCTAAGTCTAGGTTCGAAACTTAATTCGGGCTCTCCCAAGCCCATACCATATCGCGACTTAGGGTTTAGGTTTTTAACCTGCAAGTGGTTTATATCAAGGAGTCGCCACTAATCGATTTGGGGTGGATCGATTAGAAACCCAAATAA